CGAAGTTTACACCATGCTGTTCACGCGCAAAACTAATAAAACAACGTCACCGTCCTCCTCCCCACCCAAGTATTCCCCATACTCGCGTCCCGTCACATATGCACTTGTCCTCCGATATCGAAATTACGGGCTTCCTCCCCTGTGCCCGTCCCACACCTGTTGACACCACTACCCCGTTCGACACATCCACAAAAAGACTCAAAGATTTAAAACGCTATCGCGATCCACCACTTCAAACGTGCCAAGCGTACCAACAAGGTCTCAAAACCCTAAAACAAAACTCAGTCGGCATCTCATCAAGGGTCTGAATTTCTTGTGCTTGATTTTGGGCGTGTTTCAGCATCCACTCTTTACTGTAAGATTCGGTCTAACAAAGGCGATACTAATGCCTTAGAAAAAAATTAAACGCGTAAGTAAATTCTATATATCGTGTAAATATCGATATAAATAAACGAAATGAGACGTTTATTAAAGTTAGGGTTGCCTCGTGAAAACAGCAATACTCTGAGGGATTGTGAGGCTGAGACATTGCCTATATATGATCCTCTCAGTACTATTTCCGCCGAAGGGATTTCATTTAGTGTTTCGTTGTCGCTCTATTCTGGGGTGAATCCGAGAGACTCATAAAACCCTATCTTAAAAAAAAAGAAATAAAAATAAAGATGCTCTTGACGTCTTTAGTTATTGTCTTAACCAATAGCTTGCCACTATCAAGAATTACCGACTTAGCCTTCATCAGACTGGCACATCTGGTTGGCTTATCAGAGGATCAACTAGGTAACGTTAAGAGTCCCTAGAAACCTATATTCGGTTGAGCCATCTCGCTACCGAAGTATTCAGATATTAATAAAAATTGGAAAGTAAATAAAGCTTTATTAATAGAACTAGACCAAATCTTATGTTTGGTATTTTACTGAGGCCTTTTAATGGCCTCATCCAAATATCTGATATGTTAAATGGAAAAGGTTTAATTTATAAAACCATTAAAAACCATTCTAGGACACTTAAGTTCCTCGTGCTATTAAGAGCACATTTAGGAGGCTTAAGTTCCTCGTGCTATTAAGAGCACATTTAGGAAACTTAAGTTCCTCATACTATTAAGAGTATGTTTATAATTTGCGTACTGCTTAAGAGTACGTTTATACATAGAGTCTAATGTGGAGACCCAGCTTATTACATTACGAGCTAACGTGCACAAAATGGTAAGTAGCTACTTGAGAAGTACGCCTCGTGCGGCCAATTATGCGTTTCACTGGGCTTGGCTAGTTTGTTTCATATTGTTAGCTACGCTGGTAGGTAACTGGTCATTTGGTGTCGTCCATGCTTGCGTTGAGTATAGAGGAGCACAAAGTGGCTGCGATGTTGGTGCTACCTGTTGCTCAAGATCATTATTATCCGATATTGTCCTTATTCGCCATTGAAAATTCACGAAGTTGGCTGAGTTGCCCACGAATGAGGTGAATAGTTTCCGTGGCCTCCTACATACGCGTCATCGTTTTCAAGTGTCAGTCCTGATCAGAAATTCACCCCGGCCTGAAAAAATCTACCGAGGTCCGGTCCTCTGGTCCGGTCCTAAAATTACACTTACAGGTCGGGCCCTCTGGTCCGGTCCTGAATCTCCGCCCAGAGTAATTTGTCCACATATCATAGGTGCAACTTCAAAACCAGTCTCATCAGCCTTAGCTAAAGCAACATCCAAATAATCTGATGCTACTGCACAGTTTATTGAATTGATCTCAAACCTTTTGCCCCCTGTAATTACAATAAGTATGTATTTATATTAGTGGCTAGTAGATACGGATTGTTATAGACCAGCCCATAGAAAAGAATCATGTTCATGAAAGCATTGGTACATGGTGTATGTTAATTTAGTCGATGCCCATAGCAATTGTACCTTACCTATTTGACTGAGAGTTGGTCTATGTACGTCCATAGGAGAGGGTAGAAATGTTAAGAACCAGGCCCTGCAAATATGCAGTCGGCTGGTAAAGCATCACTTTGACGTTGCGAAACTATCTTCTGCATATCTGGTAAGAAGTTTTACTGACTACGATTTCTAACTACAATATAATGACCCGGTATTGTTCTAGTTTTTAGTTGCCGCGAACTCGCTAGGAGAAATGAATTTGAGGGGTATCGCCGCTCCGGATCTTCGTTCGGCTTTGGAAAGCAGAAGAAATGGACTCGAGATCTATTGCGCATCGTTCCCTCGTCATTCTTACATATAGCCACCGAGCACACCATAATCGCAACAAATTTGTATTTACCTTTAAAAAACAAAACGTGACCACCTACGTGTACAATTTCAGTACAGTACACTTTTGTATAATACAAAAGCGCGCCAAAAAATAATATAAAGTACAGTATTTTAAAAGACCCTCTCTACACAGCCTCCTGAAACATACATCTAATACTACTATTTAGTGAGAAGTGCAAATTTTTAAAAAGGGAGAACGGAGTCAACGGACATGTCCGTAGGACACGGTATGTAAGTAAATAAAAAAATCCGTCCCGACTATCAAATTGTGATGCTATTTACACGGATTTTGGATTTGGTGATTAAGGACCGAACTTTGGGATTTGGCCCCGCGGGCCCGCAGACTGCAGAGTCGCAGAGTCGCAGACCCGCACGGTCGACCCCGCTTCTGGGCTTTTGGAATTTGGTTCGGTTACGTTGAGCGAATCAAAATCGAATCCTAATACGATTGGCACAAAATTGAAAATTCATGACAAAAATCAAAATAAACAAATACATAAATATAGAGAAATTGATACCAGAAGACGTCTGTCTGATTTTTTAATTTTTAATATTTTTTAATAAAGAATAATAAGTATAGTATATAGTGACTATGCAACAACTTGCAACTTGAAACTATATATATATATATATATATATATATATATATATATATATATAATATAAATATAATATATATATATATAAATACATTTCGGTAAAAACTATATATATTAATTGTAATTTTAAATATATATCCATGCTAAACTGATTTGGTCTGAGACATCATGTTAGGGGTTCCTGCTCTGTTACTGATTGCTCTAGTGGGCTATTTTTTGTACTCAATCTTCATATACCCAGATTATGTCGACCCACTACGTCGTATGCCAGGGCCTCCAAGGTATGCCTTGAGGTTAGAAGCAACCGAAACGCTTGAGACTACCTTGTATGATTGTGTGTTATATATGTATTTACACACTCGCATACACAAACCTGTATATGGTATCTCTATCTCTATGTTGTGCATACATATACATGTATACGACTGATTAGAGGTGGACGTGGCCAGCACCATGCTTTCAACTTTGCAATGGGGGGACTTGAAACCAGACCAGATGAAGCTGCACTGAGTTGTCGTCCCTGTTCCCCTCTGCAACAGACCCCCAGGCATGCTGGGCCGCCTCACAGGGCACATGGCTGAGCTGATCAACAGCAAGCCGATGGTGCCACCACTTACATGGCATATCAAGTACGGTCCTCTGTACAAGACATACGGCCTGTGGGGAAAGTCACGTGTCGGATTGGGCGACCCTGTGCTCATTAAACAGGTCCTGGTGGACGATCCCTGTATGTATGTGCGAGGATATGACTGGAGTGTAGTTTCAGTGGGTGTGAGGATAGATCCTGTGGATAGCGAGGTTTTGGTAGATGCATTTTAATAAGGCTGTTGTGTGCTGATTAGCTAGGTCCTGATATGTGTACACTGTATGTTGTGAGCAACCGGATGTTGTATATATGTGGTGTTATTTATCTGTCGCATGAAGTACCTGTACGTGTATGAGAGGATAAAGCTATCAAGTGTTGTTCGCCAAAACATCTGTCGCATGAAACTGTGCGAAGTTAAAATTGCTGCGTTCTGTTCTTTCTCTGTGCTATTTTTTTTTGTTGTTATCATTATCTGTAGTATGAAGCACCTGTAAGTCTTCGCAAGAGTCTGTTGCTTGTCTGTTGTTGTGTATCTGTCACATGGTACACCAGTAAGCGTGCGCGAAGATGAAGTTATTGTCCGGTTGTTTTATCTGTTGACTGGAATTCTTGTTAGTTAGGTGCTATGAATTATTCTTCATCTGGCGTATGAAACATCTGTATCTCTACATGTATATATACACAAATAATCTGCATGTACATATGCATATATCGGATACCTTGGTCGGGCGTAAAGATGATCGAAGTCAGCTGTACCATGAGTTATGGCGTTTCCAATCCCATGTGCACAGTATATTGTTTCCTAGCACTGCGGAAACTTTCAACAGTTTCGACTCTGTCATGCAGTTTTTGGTATATTTTGATTCTCTCGTCCCGCCACGGTTCTGCTACTATAGGTCACTGTATATGCTTTAATATTTACTTTCATTGTGCATTTCTTGCTCTTGACTCCGATACATCTACTCACTCTACAGACAGCTATGAGCGTCCGGAGAAACCCAACGCACAGCTCATCTTTGGGCTGGGCGACGGATTGCTTACGGCACACGGAGAACCCCATGCACGCATGCTGAGCATTTCGAAGCCTGCCTTTGCGCATAGCAAGGTAAAGCTCATGATCCCTAAAATGCAGCACTACGCCCGCCAACTCGGCCAGCTATGGGGGACGCTCATTGACAGGGCTGACGACGGTGAGTGAGGAGACATTGTGTGGGGTGCTGCGTATAGAACACAAAGGTTTTGTAGAGAGTTTAGTATGGAGTTTAGTAGGGGAATGGTTGATGACAGGTCAGTATGTATTGTGTGGGTCACGGGCATAGAACACAGGAGGTTGCACAGGGGTAGTGGAGATGAGTAAGTGAAGATTAGGTTGTGGGTTATAGAACATAGTGGTGTAGTCAGATCTTGTTGGTGGTGAGTAAGGTAGTGCCTATGTTAAGGAGTATAGATCACACCTGCCTAGTATTGTATCGCTGATGATGGGTTGTCTGTTTCCGGTGTATTGGGTGGCGTGTTGTGCAACGAATGAAGTATAAGCCAGGTTCTGCGCACGGTATGGCGCATGCGGCGTAGCATACACCATTTCGCTCAGTAACTAGGCATTGTTATGGGAAGTACATGTTGACGCAGCTGAACAAGACATGTCGGTGTGGTGTCGTACAAGTGCATCAATGATTGGTTTGTAAATCACGCAGTGTATGGTTGCGTACAGCGCTGTCGAGCCCACGATATCCAGACGGTAGAGTGGCACTTAGCAGTTGAGCCAATTATGGTACACATTAAGGAGAGTCTTGAGGCGATTGGGCGATTGGGTGATTGAATAAAGAAAAAGCTGCTATGTATATCTATATACATAATTGAACGGCAGGAATCATCACATCTCGACTACACCGACAAGTTGGATTGTTCTGCATACAAACTATAAATATTTTATATACCTCCACATATTTACCTTCCATACAGGTTATAATGGTACGTACGTGTTAATATATCTGAATTGCATCGTTATATGAATGGGCTCTCAACAGTTTTCTCTGCGCTACAGGCCGTATCATGGTAGATGTTTTGCAGCACACGACGCTTGCGACCTTTGATGTCATTATGGATGTCGGGTTTGGCGCCAAAGCTAATGCTGTGGCCAGAGAGGCAGAAAAACTGCTTGGCGCCCCTCTAATCGGTTATGCGAAAGAAGGTACTTGACTTTTCTTATATATATACATATACATATACATACATCCACACACACACACACACATATATATATCTATATCTATATCTATATCTATATCTATATCTATATCTATATATATACGATATATACACACACACACACACACACACA